TAAAGGTTCCTAATGCTCAGCCTGAAAGTCGATGCCGGGATTTAGGTTTCGTGCATAAAAGGATACGCAGCTCAAAAACAACGTGGCGGAAAAAGACCAACAATCGAACGGACTGAGCAACAGTCGGGAAATTGTTAGCTGGCTGACCACCCGCTAATGAAACACTGACCAATGCAACTGAAGAAGTTACCGGCTGCATAGCTGAAGTATCAGACTATAATTACAAGCTTGCGAAAATCCCGCGAAAAACTTGCAGTTGTAGAGAGGGTGTAATGCGCAGGATGCAGCAACCAGACAACAATGAACATGTACTAGGGTGCCATACGGACAAGTTCGTTGGGCACAAAGGCCGGTAGTGTAATGGTCTAGCACATCGCGTTCGGATACGAAAGGAAGTAACTCGATTCCCCCCGGTCCATAATTATTTAAAAAAAAAGCTCTTTCTGCGATGAGTAATCGATGGCATCTGTTTCGAAAAGCACCGTGAAATAGGCAATGCACCATTGTTTCTTCTCATTGGAGGGGGGATGGAACATAATAATCTCGACAAATTATAGATCTTGCAGTTTATTTCAGTACGTTTACGACGAGCAGTACCAGAAGCGCATCCAGAAAAGCTTTTACCTGAACGAATTCATCGACCTAAAAGCAGTGGTATCAAAGATACCGGTGATACAAAGTTCCACAACAGTAACGCAAGTGCTGAATACGATTTGTATGACTATAGCGGATCAGAGGAATATCCTGAGAATCCACGCCATATTGAAACAAAAACATTTGCCCCAACGACAACAACGACAACAACAACCGAAAATCAGGAGAAGGTGCAGCAGGCGACTGCTGAAGCGCAGCAGTCGGCAACCAAAACAGCTACTTATCCAACACTGGTACTCCTCGATCCAGAATTCCCATTTCAGGCTTCGTTTCAGAATCCATTTCTGATTGATACATCGTTATTCACTGAGGTGCCTCCTGCGACTGAACAGACAGATAGCGTTGCAGTGGCATCCGGTGCTACCACCGCCAAACCAGCAGACAGTGTTTTTTTCAACGAAGTGGACGATTTCAGCAACAGCGTTTCACCTGCTTCTAATGGTACCAAAATTGAATTCTCGATGGATGACGCTGAAAAGTCACAATTAACAAAAAACGAAAATTCGACGAATGAAAGCATTTTGGAGAGTAAAGCTACGAGTTTTAGCACTGAAGTAAATTCCACTACCACGGAGTTGCCGGCGACTGAAGATACAGAGTTACGGTCGGTGAGGGTAGCAAATTCGTGGGTCGAAAGAGGTTTTAGTAGTACAACACAATTGTCAACGGCGGATACTGTAGATTCGACATTAAATTCTAGCGCTATCGAATTTTCGAAAGGTGCCGCTTTAGAAATGACACTAGGGAATCCTGCTGATTCCAGCATTGAGTTATTGGTAAAAACTGCTGAAAATTCCAGTATCGAAGGAAATTCTAGCACAGCTGATGATGAACTTCGGGCTTTGAATTCTAGCTTCACTGATGCTGAACTTTGGGCTGCTAATTCTAGCACCACTGATGCTGAACTTCAGGCTGCTGATTCTAGCACCGCTAATGCTGAACTTCAGACTGCCAATTCTAGCACCACAACATCCACTAGCATCGTGGGGAGTAGTGCTGTAGATTTTAGTGCCCAAGCAAATTCTA